AAAAATAGGAGCTTGATCCTACATTCAAAACAGCTGGACAAAACAGCCCTACAGACTACAGCTAGGATATCTGAATCTTCTTCGAATCCCCCAAGACAGTGCCCCTTACCAGCAGGAAGTAGTTTGGAAAGAACGATGCCCAAATTCCCAAATATTGTGTATAAATGTTTGTTTTCATTTAATTGGACTTTGTTATATAAAATTAAATAAAAAAATAGGAGCTTAATCCCAGCACTTGGGAGGCAGAGGTAGGCAGATCTCTGTGACTTCTAGGCTAGGCTGGTCTACAGAGCTAGTTTTAGGACAGCCAAGGCTACACACACACACACACACACACACACACACACACACACAAAAAAAAAAAAAAAAAAAAACCTGCCCCGGAAAAGACAAAAGAAAAAATGAACTGAAACCAACTCAGATGCATCATGGGAAAGAACATGTGCAATTAGGAAAAGCAAATATATGACCAAATCTGTCAATCAAAGCAGAGTACTGCACACACTATACCCCATAATAACCAGACCCTCAGAGCCTCAGTCTCTTGAACCCCATAAGTACTCTTACTCTATGGCCCACTGTCAGTCCTGACATGTCCCTCTATAATCTGCACTGTCCCTTTGTTCAGAATAAAGTTGTCTCAATTCTTTTCAATTGTGTTTGAAACATACAAGACAGTGTTTCTCTGTAGCTTTGGAGGCTGTCCTGAAACTTGCTCAGTAGACCAGCTGGCCTTGAATCATAGAGAGCTGCCTGTCTCTGCCTCCCGAGTGCTGGTGTTAAAGGTGTGTGCCATCACTACCACCCAACAATTATTTTCAATTCACCTTGAGCCCTTATTTTCAATCCTCTGGTTAATAGACAAACTCAGACCACTGATAGCCTAGGAGATTCCTTCCACCATCCTAGAGGGCCTGCCTGCCAGTCTACTGTTTTTTTTTTTTTTTTTTTTTTTTTTTTTGTTTTTGTTTTTGTTTTGTTTTGTTTTTAAATCAAAGTGAAAGCAAAGAGACATCTGTTTCTTGATTGCATCACATATGAAATTACAGACTTACCTTTTACACATATCTCATTGGTGGATTCCCACAACATGGCTGCTTGGATACAAAGGGAGCTGCAGTGTACCAGACAGTTCTAGATAGCTACTTCCAGATAATAATATTCTATTCATAAAGAGTACAGATGTGTGGTAGTCATTATGAATTCTGCCATGGATGGGCATGTGTTGTGGAATCTTTAGCTAGGCAAGCATGTTTTACATTTGTTTATGCTGCATTTGTTTAATGGTGTAAGGATGTGTGTTTAATCATGAAAAGATGTGTTGCTGTTTAAACTGGCCTGCCTAAGGCACCTGATTGGTCTAATAAAAAGCTGAATAGTGGAGCAGGATAGGCAGGGCTGGTGGACAGAGAGAATAAATAGAAGGAGAAATCTAGGCATGAGAAGCAAAAGAGAGCTGGGTGGTGGTGGCACACAGCTTTGATCCCAGCACTCGGTAGGCAGAGGCAGGCGGACCTCTGTGAGTTCAAGGCCAGCCTGATCTACACAGTGAGTTTCAGGACAGGCTCCATAGCTACACAGAAAAACCCTGTCACAAAACAAACAAAGAAAGAAAGAAAAAGAAAAGAAAGAAGGGAAAAAGCCATGAGAGCTAAGCTAAGGCTGAACATTCAAAATTAATGTTATTATGTAATTCCAATTAATGTAAATTCCATGTTACCAAGATTTGGGAGCTGGTTGGTAACCTAAAAGAAAGAGCTGGGTTCAGGCATGTAATTTCAATTTACCACAGTCCTTTTCTCATTCTTACTTCTGTGTGGTTCCTAGAGGCATGCACTGTGGCTCTAAGTCTCTGACCTAAGGGTAATGGATAGATCTTAAGTAAGTATAGAAAGAGATAGATTATATTTACAACAAAAAAGAGATTCATGCTGTACAGGAAGACATTTAAGTTTTAAAAATATGTACGTATTGGGAACTGATTGAGATTTTCCAGGGTTGGAAGGAAGATACACAGATCAATGGTGGTCTAAGGCAGTGTGTGTGTGTGTGTGTGTGTGTGTGTGTGTGTGTGTGTGTGTGTGTGTGATCAGCTTCTATGACATGTGGTATTGGAAACTATAGGCCCCCAGGGAGGAATGGCTACATGGCATGTCTTAGCATATGAAATGATAACCATCTGTGTTCCTTATGGGTCCCAGGAGTAGTTGGAAACTAAGAGACAGACAGACATACCTATAAAACTGGACAGTAGCAATTAGAGCCATATTTCCTGGGAACAGAGGGCAAAATGAATTTGTGGTCACTTTCCCTTGTCAGTGGACAAACCCAGCATTGCATCAGCAGTCTGAAGAGTCCCTTCTCTCTTAGTGACCTCTGCTCAGATAAAGCTAGAAAATAATTTCAGGACAAGTCCGAGTGAAGCGGTTAGTGAGTTTATTAAATATTTAGACAGAGACACATTTGAGGAGAATGTACACTGAAGATATGGGTGTCACACTTAGGTGTCTTTGAGATGGCTAAATATATGATCCTGTGTTTTAAATTACATACCCACAGGCTTTAATTTACAAGAGTTTAAAGATTAAGCAAAGCTTCAAGCTTTTAGTAAAAATTAAGCAAGTATATGAACTAGCTTATTTCTCTTAAAGAATTTTCTTTTGATAATGGAAGTATAAAGTGGTTTTATGAGGTGCGTGGTTGAGATTTAGGGATGGGAAGTCACAAACATTCTGTTTTTACACATTTGGTTACTTATTTTGTAGAGAGGCACACACATGCAATGGCTCAGGTCATTAGGGTTGGTGGCAAGTCTCTTTACCCAGTGAGCCATCTTGATGGCCCTGCTCTAGGCAAGCTGGCGTTGAGAATTGATCCCAGGGCTTCTAGACCTATCACTGATCTTTATCTTCAGCCCTAGTTGTTTGTTTTTAACATCTTAATTTGGGTTGTCTTTAGAAAAACACACATTATTTCTGTTGGCATGGCAATTTTTTTTTTTTTTTTTTTGAGACAGGGTTTCTCTGTATAGCTTTGGAGGCTGTCCTGGAACTTGCTCTGTGGACCAGACTGGCCTCGAACTCACAGAGATCTGCCTGCCTCTGCCTCCCGAGTGCTAGGATTAAAGGTGTGTGCCACTGATGCCCAGCTTTTTGTTATTTTTTTTTTTAAATCATGCATATGGGTGTTTGATTTGCATGAAGGTCGGAGGTGAGTGTCAGCCTCCTGGGACTGGAGTTAGAGATGGTTATGAGTCATCATGTGGGTGCTGGGAAGTGAACAGGGGTTCATTGGAAGAGCAGTCTCAACCACTGAGCCATCTCTCCAGCTTTGTATTGAGTTTCTTGATCCTTATTCAACAAACCGAAGTGTCAGGGACTTAATTTTTCCTGACCTTCTACCTATTCACTCTCTGGGACTTGTGTTTAGAGCTCCAAGAAGACTGAAGGCAAACACTGCTCTAGCAGATTAACTGCAGGAGTATGTGTGTGACTGTCTAAAACCACTGTATTACATAAAGCAGTAGGTATGTTGCAAATCTTTCTTGTCTGAGTTTAAGGGCTAGGATCGAAACTATTCGGCTATGTGATTTTTCTTTGTTTGTTTGTTTTTATTTTTTGAGGCAGGGTTTCTCTGTGTAGCCCTGGCTGTCTTAGAACTTGGTAGGTAGGCCAGGTTGGCCTTGAACTCAATATCGGCCTACTTCTACTTCTGTTATGCAATTTTTTTCCAATTTTTTTTTTCTAAATTAAGGTGCAGAAGAAGGCAGTGACATCCCTCTGTTCAGCTTTTCCTATAACTTTTGCTTTACTATACCCAAAGTAGCGTACAGGCTACAGAAAATAAAAAAGAGTCCCAATTCCCAAAGGATGGATTGCAAGCCTGTCAGACTGAAGTCATAGATGCTGTGTTTGGTGTTAACGCTCAGTAGGCAATTGTGCTTACTCCTGGCATCCACTGCACACAAGAACCAAGGAAAATGTTTTTATAGTAAAGAAATCTGGGTTGAACTGCAAAGTAGAAACTACATCGCTTTAAAAGTGTTCTGAACTTCAAAGGAATTGCCCTTGCATAGAAAGGGCCTCCTTGTCCCAGAATTTCATGTGAGCCTTCAGAGCAACTCTTTTTGAACAGAGAACTTGTGCGGAAAAGTATAAACAGATTTGGCCACGTGCCCAGCTCGGCTAAGGGCCACATTCCTCTGGTCCGGACTGCATTCAGATTATTATGCTCCTGTTAATACCTCCTCACAACTGCAGGAACTCCAGCGAAAGAGAGCCAAAATTCGAGTTCTTGCTCCGCAGTTCATGAAAGAATGAGAAAATGGAGAGTCAGCAACTTGAAAGGTTATCCTGGATGAGAGTGGGGGTTAGCTGCGGGAGGTACGGGCTCACCCCCCGAAGTTTTTTAGCCACTCTGTCCTCTCATGGTGCAGAGTTAGAGCCCATGCACAAAGGCTCTTGTTTGTTTTATGTTCTTTTAGAGACAGGGTCCCTCTCTGTGTAACCCCTGGCTGGCCTCTAAGCAGCTATCCTCCTGCCTCAGCCTCCGAAGTGCTGTGATTATCGGGTGCTCCGGGTCACAATCGCATGGCCTCACTGTTCAGGTCCTTCTTCACCCTACACGTTCTTCTTTGAGTGCCCAGTCTACTTTGGAGTGTCCGGGTGGGTCTTAGGACAGTCTGGTGAACTAATGAGGACTGGCCTCTGGAGCAAGTGCAGCAGAGCCCAACTCAGGAGCAATGGGTTTGTGCACCATCTCGCAGTTGGCCAGATGCCAGGGTCGGGGACCCAGAAGTGCTTAAAGGTAGTAGGCGCCCTGCCACGAGGGTGGCTGGTGCAATCCCTCGCTCTCTTGCGTTGACAGCCTAGGCGGGTTGAAATTCTAAACAACGGGAGGAGCAATTGATCGCAGGATCGGATGGTGAGCACAGCCAATGGGGATGCGAGTCTCTGGGTGAGAGCCAATCGGTACGCGGCCTGAGAGAGAGGCCCAATGGGGCGCCGACTCTGCGAGCTGGAGCCCGCCCCGCCCCTGCATCCGGAGACGCGGGCAGTTCGCGTGGTCTCTGCTCCTGCCACTTCCCCGGCTGTTGCCTCGGTACCATGGACGCCTCCAAGCAAGTGGTTAACTTTGGGCCCGGGCCTGCCAAGCTGCCACACTCGGTAAGATGGCCAGGGTTCGGCCGGAAAGCCGGCATCGGGATGCAGGGCGTCGGGATGTGACTGTCGAGATACAGACGTCGGTGTGCGGGACGTCGGGATGCCGCCATCGAGATGCAGCTGCTGAGGCCAAAATGTGCTTCTGTGCAGAGGCCGGTGTGACTCCGGCTCGGCCTCCCGGCGGCGTGGCTTTGCGTGCACGGGCGCGCGTGGGAGCGGGAATGAATGGGCGGTGGCGGGCGGGTCAGGGGCGAGCATGTCTGTCTCCGGGGTGGCAGGCTAAACTCGGCTCGGGGAGCACAGATCTCAGAATTCGGGAATGGAAAGCTGCCGGCTTCTCCCTCCGAAACCCCATCGAACCCACTCAGCCCCCAAGCCTTTCTCCCCCTGGAAACTCGCTTGTTCCCTTAGTGCACCCGGGGTTCTGCTTCTGAAAGGCTTTAGTCTGTTTGGCTAAGTTCCATTCGCTTGATCTGGGTGCCATCCGGTCCCTCGCGGGTTCCTCTCGGACCCCAGCTGTGCGGAATGAGATGCCTCTCTTGGCTTAGAGCCCACGAACCAGCTGCCGAAACGGTATCTGATAGCCGGTTGCCACAGCGCTCCGGCATGGCCAAGAATTGTACAATTATCTATTGTTGAACCCTGGCGATCTCCCTGGAACACCGCGGCCTCTGTGGGGTAGGAACAGCATCTTGCTGTGTGAGTGGGGAAAGGACGCCTTGCTTTTGTGGGGACAACTGCACAAACTGAGAACAAGGCTTATTCTGCGGTCATTTCGGTTCATTTTCCGTGACGTTCTTTGCTTGAACTGTGGGAACTTCTGCAGGAAACCCTCCCCTCTTTTAGAGTTGGCTGTGTCCCGTCCCCTGTGGCTCTCCCCTCCCCCTTGGTAAGGCAAGGTCTGAGTACAAGCTAGTCTGGGCACCTTCTGGGCCTCTGCTTAGCTGATGGTCACTACCTCCCAGGTGTATGAAGTGTGCAGAACATCTTGAAATCTTTCTTGTCTTTTTCTAGGTATTGTTAGAGATACAGAAACAGCTATTAGACTACAAAGGACTTGGCGTCAGTGTGCTTGGTAAGACTTATTTTGGATTCTATGACTACCCTGGTTTAAAAGGGAACAAAAATGCCTCAAGTCCAGGCTTTACTCTGAATGGTCTTCTTATAGTACATTATAGGTATATTTAACTTTAATGTCCTGGCTTGCATGTTTGCTGGAGCCAAGACTGACGTAAATCACTGGTTCCTAATTGGTTTTGGGTTTTAAAGGCAGGGTTTCTTTGAGCATCCCTGGCTGTCTTGGAACTACCTCTATAGACCAAGCTGGCCTGGAAGTCACAGATCAGCCTGCCCATGCCTCGAAAGTGATGGGATTAAAGGTGTGGGCCACCACTTCCCAGCCCTAATTGGTTTTTACTGGTCACAAGATGTGAGATTAGCAGATACTATACATTTGCCTAAGGATGCCACCAAGGCTCTGTAATATTTACATTCAATGTAAAGTTTTTATTATACTTAGGTAACTTGTAGAAGTTAAAAAGTTCATAAGCCTCTATGAAGGTCCTTCTCATTAATAATTTCTTTATTAAACTTTTAACATTTTTATTTATATTTTAGACATGAGTGCTCTGCAGTATAACCACATGCCAGAAGTGGACATCAAGTCTTATTAAGATGGTTGTGAGCCACCATGGGTGCTGGGAATTGAACTCTCGACCTCTGGAAGAGTAGCCAGTGCTCTTAACCACTGAGTCATCTCTCTGTAGTTCTTTATTAAACTTTTGCTCCTGTGTTGTTTAGAAAGAGAACCTCTAAGTCCTAAATTTCACATTCATTTGTTTTTCTTGCTTGTTCCCCAGGCTGCACTGTGTGATAGGACTTCAGGGTTAGCTCTCTGAGTCTCTAGCTTGGGAGAAAGAGAGTCGGGTTTGATAAGGACCAAATGATCCTCAGTTAATATAGCACTTGAAAAATCACTGCACTGTGACTGCAAGACTGAAAGTTCACAGTTTGAATAGTGGTGTGAATTGTCCTCTACATTAAGTGTGCATGTACCTACCTGCTGAACGCAGCGCTTTCTTAAATTATTTCTCTGTAAATTTCACAAGCATTTCTGTTTGTACTTTGTCGTTGTTTCTTTGCTTCCACAGAAATGAGTCACAGGTCATCAGATTTTGCCAAGATTATTAACAACACAGAGAATCTTGTGAGGGAATTGCTGTAAGTTTTTTTCAAGTATTTTTTAAAAAAATATATTTATTTTATTTTATGTGTGTATATGCCTGAGTATATGTATGTGCATCACGTGACAGTTTGCAGAGGTCGGGCGAAGAGTTAGAGCCCCTATTGAGGTTTGAGGCTCCCTCCTTTCTCATGACTCTAGCTTGTGTCAACTTGACATAGAACTAGCCAGGCGACTTGCCATCTTACTGAGCTGACTGTAGGCCAGGTACAAGATAGTTACACAACCCCTGTTGCCCTGTTCCTGCCACCTTGCTGGCTCCTTCTATTTGGTACTGATGCTGGAATTCTGTCCTTTCCCTGTTTATTCCTAAGCTCTGGCTATTATAAAGGGGGATCTCTGCAGCTGGTCTGATCATCTTTTCCATCCTGAAGTCAAAGCATTTTGTACTTAGTCCTGACTTGTTTTTGGGCTTTGCTTACTCAGCTAGACCTAGAGTTGTCAAAGACAGACACCTCTCATTGATGCCTGGCTCAGTATGGTTACAGGTGACCCACATCACCAGCTTAAGCAAAAATGGGACTGTTTGCCTTGTGCAGTCAAAGGAGGACACAGGAGCCCTGTTGATATGGGGGGGGGGGATAGTATTTGCAAGATTAGCACCTTGCTGTGATATGAGCAAACATCTCAGCCAGATTTCACTGGCAGCTTTGTTCACTGCTCATCTCCTATGTTGGGGTGGCCATAGTTGAAATCTGAAGTCACCATAGGTTTCTACTGTTGTCACCAATAAATGTTAAAGAAACCAGTAAATGACTAAATTGGGTAAGAGAAAGTGATAATGAAATTTTACTGTATTTTTCTTGTAAGATATATTTCGTGTGTGTGTGTGTGTGTGTGTGTGTGTGTGTGTGTTTTCATTCATTCATAGAAGCCAGAAGAGTAATCAGATACTTTGGAGCTAGAGATATAGGCCATTGTGAGCTGCCTGATGTGGGTGCTGGGGAAATGAACCCAAGTCCTTTGCAAGGGCAGTACTTGCACTTACCACTGGGCCATCTTTCCAGCCTCTGTAGAGTTAGACCAGAAGTATGTATGCACTTGGTAGAGCATCCCTCATTCTCTATCCTTGATGTGTGAGCTTACGTATTTACTGTCACTGTTTTTATGTTCAGAGATGTTCCCAACAACTACAAGGTGATCTTTGTACAAGGAGGTGGGTCTGGCCAGTTCAGTGCTGTCCCCTTAAATCTGATTGGCCTGAAAGCTGGAAGGTGTGCTGACTATGTGGTGACTGGAACTTGGTCAGCTAAGGCTGCAGAAGAAGCCAAGAAGTTTGGGACTGTGAATATCGTCCACCCTAAACTTGGAAGTTACACAAGTGAGTTTTGGGAAGTGTGCTGAAAGGTGAGGTGCTGAGTGGCCATTGCCCTTGCTGTTCTTTTGCTGCTGTCCTCTTGTCAGTGGTTACTGATCTCATTTAGATTGTGTAGCTATGGTGATCTGCTAACTACTGCAGAATGATGAGAGTCTTGCTTGGCTAAGAGCCCAGGAGCCAGTTTGGTATTTGGTATGGGAAGACCAGGGACCCCAGTGATGCTGCCCTTGCCCTAGTCACTCCTTATCTTCATGGTAGACCCAAAATAGTCCCTTTTCTAGGAAGATGGTTGCAGTTGCTCTTCATTTTGTTGTATCCTCCCAAGTTTCAGTGCCCTTGCTGAAGCATCCCAATAATAGTATCATGTGCCCTGCTGTGAATTCATCACTAACTCTGCCTGAGTCACATTTTACCCATAGGGATATGGATTTGATTGGCTTTGCTGGAACCACATGGGCCCAGATTGCATAAGCACTAGGTCCTTAGCAGAATCTAGTAGACCAACAGGTGTAGGGTAGATGGGTGTTTGATGCCAAAAAAAAAAAAAAAAAAAAAAAAAACTTTCACTTAACCTCCATCTTCTCTGTTGGTTCATTTGTTTGGTTTGGTTTGGTTTTGTTTTGTTTTTTGAGACAGGGTCTTTCTGTGTACCCCTGGATGGCCTGGTAATCATTTTTGGTTGTGTGCCTAACCTTTTAAGGGTTGACCCATCTCTCTAGTCCACCTTGGTAGTCTTGATGTAGCACAGGCTGCCTTTGAACTCAGAGCAGTCCTTTTGCCTTAGCCTCCTGAGTGCGGGATTACACATGTACACCAGTACACTTGGCCCCTCTGTGCTGCTTTTGAATGTTATTTGTACCCAATAAATTCAAAGTGTGATGGATCATTCAGCTGTTAGTGGTGATGATGCACAAGTAGGTGGATAGGTACTTGTACTTGCCAAGTACTTTGGAGTCAGTAATCCCCTCAGGAAACTAACCAATCTTCTGGGTGACATCATCTATATATGGAAAAGGGAAGGAAGAATGTAGAACCTCAAACTTGCCTTCTGTGATAGAAATTCCAGACCCAAGCACCTGGAACCTCAACCCGGATGCCTCCTATGTGTACTTCTGTGCAAACGAGACTGTGCATGGGGTGGAGTTTGACTTCATACCTGACGTCAAGGGAGCAGTGCTGGTCTCTGACATGTCCTCAAACTTCTTATCCAGACCAGTGGACATTTCCAAGGTAGAGTATGAAAGGTTGGGTCAGGGAACCAGTGAGTGTGAAGTGTTTTGATGAATATGCCCATAGAAAAGCCCTCAGGGAGTCTGGGGCTAGCAGAGCCCCTGAAGCCAGGGTAGACATCAATGAGCAGACTGACAGCTGTCTGTTTCATCACTAGCTGTCTGAACATCTAAGTCTGTGGTAATAATTGCTCATGGTCTACATGCCAGTAACTTGCTTGCCTTTAACAGTGGCTCTCAAGCTGGGCTTGGTGGCATGTGCCACCCTGAATCCCAGCACCCAAGAGGCTGAGGCAGGTGGATTTCTGAGTTTAATGGTAACCTGGTTTACATTTTGAGTTCTAGGCTAGCAAAAGGTATACAGCGAGACCCTGTGTTTTTGTTGTTATATTTGATAGTTTTTTTTTAAGTGTGTATTTATGGTATACATACTTACATACATTACACACACATTATACACACACATACAATTTACTTTACCTATTGTCTGTGTATGGATGTATGTGCACACTTGCTGTGGTGTGTGTGTGGTTTTACTTGCTGGACCACCTTGCTGACCCAATTTTGATCACTTTTAGGTGTACAGATCAGTAGCATTTAGCACTCTAATATTGCGGTGCAGCCTTCACCTCTGTCGCAGAACTTTCAGGTTTTGTACTAAAAGTTTGTACCAGTTGAATTGCCACATTCCCAGTCTTTGCCAATCACTACTATCCAACTTTATGAATTTATACTCAAGGAACTTCCTATAAATGTGATCATGATATTTGTTCTGTAGTATTTGGTTTAATTCACTAATGCCTTCAAGATTCACGCTGTGGCATATATCAGAACTGCAGTTTTAGACTAGTATTCCATTATATAGATCTCTGTATTTGGTTTATGGCCACACCTTGTTTTTTAAAGATGGGTCTCACTGCATAGCTCAGTCCAGTCTGGCCTTGAACTTGAAATCCTCCTGTCTCTCTTTTGTGTTAGAATTACATGTTTGGCCATTCCAAATCATGTCAGTTGTGAACCGTACACCCTTACTTGATTTCCTGGGGTGACATAGAACCTGTATCTTGCACAACAAAATGTCCTCAAGAACCATTTGCCATTGAGATATTCTAAAATTCTTCCTCAGGTCTCTCACCCATTCAGGTTGTGTTGCAACAGTCTCATTCATGGCTGCTTCCAACTTTCTCTTAGTGGAAGTTTGTATTAATTACCTTTGACCTCTATTTTTTTTTTCTTTTTAGAATTATTAATTTTATTTTACAAGTATGGATGTTTGGCCTGCGTGCATGTATGTATATGCACCAGATGTGTGTCTGGTACTGCCAGAGGTCAGAGGAGGACATTGAATCTCCTGAAACTAGAGTTAGAGATGGTTGTAAGATACAATGTGAGTCCTGGGAATTGAACCCAGGACTTCTGCAAAAGCAACAAGCACTTTAAACTATTGATCCATCTCTGCAGCCTATTGATTTAAAAACTTATATTTTAACCATTTCAATATTTAATTAAAAATATGTAACTAAAATTTTATTTAAAATTATGTATGTGTTAGTAGCTGTACAAATAAATCTTCTAAATTAAATAATAGTATTTCATTTTGACTACAAAAAATTTGGAGGCCCCAGTTTCTTTTTGTTATTTTTCAGTGTTTGGTATGAAGCCCATGCTTAATGCATGATGAACATGCTATATTAGTGAACTATACCTCAATCTAAAGGGCCTACATACCAAGCTTGTTCTAAGGTCACCATGCAGCCAAGGGTGACCTTGAACTCCCGATCCTTCTGTTTCCATCTCCCAACTGCTGGATTACATGTACACCATCAAGCCTGGATATTTAGTTAAAAATTTTTTAAAAGATTTATTTAGTTCTTACTATATATGTATTAGTATTTTGCCTTAATTTATGTATATATGTGTACTGTGTGTGACTGGCTCTCAGAGGTCAGAATCAGGTGTTACAGGTGGTTGTGAGTCACCATATGGATATTGAGAAACAAACCCAGGTCCTCTGTAAGAGCAACAAGTGCGTTAACTGCTGAGCCATCTCTCCAGCCCTGAGAGGACCTGTCTTAAAGACTGGTTTGGGAGTAGGACAAGGGTCGTGAGTGCATGGACTTCACAGTGCTAGATGTAGGCCTCTTCCTGGCATAGGCCAGGCCTTGGGTCTCCGCACTCAAGCACTATAGTATGGCGTGCTCCTAGGCAGGAATGGGTACCTTACTTTACACAAATTGTGATGAGAGAAGAGGTAGATATCAGCATTGCATGACTTAGGGATGGCCGCAGATTCCCTCTAAAATAACTGATGTTTCTTTTTTAAGTTTGGTGTGATTTTTGCTGGTGCTCAAAAGAATGTTGGCTCTGCTGGAGTGACAGTGGTGATCGTCCGCGATGACCTGCTGGGCTTCGCCCTCAGAGAGTGTCCTTCAATCCTTGACTACAAAGTGCAGGCTGGGAACAACTCTTTGTATAACACACCTCCATGTTTCAGGTAACTCAGGGGTCTTCCATCAGAGTAGAGGTAAAGTAGAACATACTTCATTAGCCAGGAACCCAAGAGTCCAAAATACTCAGCGTTTTTCGTCCGGCTCTCCTCCTGGCCTCTAGATACTGTTTGGTCAGTGTTTCTGTTGCCCTTTTTGTGAGGATGACAATCTTGGTTTTTGCTTGATCTTGATAATCCAGGCGCCAACTGTTGACCATTAACCCACAAGTTCTCTGTAGAAAAAGTGTCATAGCCTGTGTCTCAGACAAACAGGGTGGCTTTCCAGAGGGACAGGGTCAAGCTAGTAGGGCAAGGGTGCCAGAGTTCTCTTTTGTCCTGCAGAAAATGCCTTCCACACACAAGAAAGGGAAGAGTTTGGAAGTTTCCCTGTGTTTCTTTTCTTTTTTTCCCCCCCAAGGTAGGGTTTCTTTGTATGGCTTTGGAGCCTGTCCTGGAACTTGCTCTGTAGGCCAGGCTGGCCTCGAACTCAGATCTGCATGCCTCTTCCTCCTGAATGCTGGGATTGAAGGCGTGCGCCACCACTGCTCAGCTTCCCCTGTGTTTCTGTTACTCACGTGATACAGAACAGTGTCTAGTGTCCCACACTTTTCCTAGGAGTAGAGTGTTCTATAGTTCTGGTCACCCCTAACCTTACTCCTGGACCTGGACTAAAGATGTTTCTAAGATGCATGTTGGCCTAGAAGTAGCATGTGGCTCAGTTCTATCTTGCTTACCTCTTGGGGTTCCAGGCAGTGGACACTAGTCAGGAAGGAAACGCTGAAGGTACCACTGGGAACCCCATGGGCAGGATTCCTGGAGGAACAGTTGAGGTGCCAGGCTATTTGGGATAGGAGGTTAGAAGGTGGGGCCACATACCTGCCTTACAGCTCAGTCTTCCAGGGGAGGCTTTAGAAGAGAGAAGGCTGAGACCCAATGTGATGGTGTCACCTACAATCCCAGGACTAGGAGATGGAGTCAGTAAGATTGAGACTGGGCTGCAGAGTAAGACTCTGTCTCAGAAGCTGAATGATGTGAGAAGATAGGAGGAGATGGAATGAAGCCTGTCCTGGACATGTGTCCAGAGGCCAACAAGGAGCCAGGGTGAGCAGGGTACCCTTGGGCATCTTTTCAGGAGGCTTTAAAGACATGTGATGAGCATATTCACTGCACATTGGGAACAGTGGGAGAACAGGCCAGGTGTCTGGTGGGAAGTGGGAAAGATTGGACACTAGAAAGTCCACATCCCAGCCTCCTTGCTAAGCCTCAGTTGGCCTTGATCCCACCCCATCCCCTTTGAATGCTCCCTGGGCATAGAAACCCCCTCTCTCTGGGACTTCAGAAACAGCAGAAAAGGAGTTCTTCCTCAGATTGGGATGGTCTCTCAGAGCAAGTCAGCGTGGCCAATACTTAGATTGAAACTGAGCAAATGCATAGAAGGTGAAAGGTAAGGGATTCCTAACCCAATTGTGCCCCCACCTCCACCTCTGTTTCTCTACGTTGTTGATGAGATGAAAGGAGAAAACTTTGCGCTTCTGTGTGACCTGAAGTATTCAGAACTGACTGTAGTGCATTAACATTCAAGGTTAGAAATGGCCCACTGAGAGCCATCTCCTTATAGAGACGACAATGTGTGCAGGGCAGGGGAGGCAGCCAGAACCCTCTCCAGTCTGTCCTATAGACAGGTAAGGATGCAGGCATGTCCTGGTGATGTTCTTTGTTCTGTTTGTTTTGTTAGAGCCAAAGGATTGTGGGCCTAGAATTGTTGGACTGTTTGGATAAACTGGACCATGAATGGTTGCTTAGTAGCCTTGGGCAGGAACTGGACTGGAATAAATGGCTGTGGTGACATTCTTTTTAAGCCATTAGTAACAGTCAACACTGTTAGTGGGTAGAGGAGAAGATACTAAACAACCCTTCAAACTTCATAAAACACTTCCTATTTTTATGCATATTGAGCTGCTAAGTATAGATAGATTGTTTTTTATCATCCAATTGTCTTGTTTCACTGGGTGAAAATATAAGGTAAAGGCTTGGTGACTTGTGCTAGCATATGGCCTGTGCAGGGGCCTGCCTGGAGAGGAGGGAAGAAGTCTGAACCCTCAGAGTATAGGGGAGTTGACTCAGGGAAGGCTAGCTGCATGAAGGCTTTCAGAAGCTTCTGAAACAGTCATGACACCTGATCCCCAGCCCAGGGCCTTATCTGCAGCCTGGAGATTTTGGTGACTTTTTTTTTTTTTTTTTGTGACCTTTTTAAACTCTGACACACAGGGTATAATTTATGTTGTCTTAAAAATATATAAAAATAGCACCTGCTTTTAGCAAAAGTTTCCCCAAATGAACTGTTACCAGGGAAACACTGTGCCTGCCTATCCACTCACCCTTCATTAATCATTCAAGACTCATTCCAGGACCCACAGGGAGTCCCAAATTTTTCAGGGGTCAAATCTCTTTTTAAAAGTGGCATAGTATATAGCTATACACATGCTCCTGCATGCTATAAGTCATTTCTAGTCATTTATAATACCTAATAAAATGTAAATACGCTAAATAATTTAAGTATTCTATTGAGTAAGAAGTAATGACCAGGAAAAGACTTGTTTATACTCATTCCAAACACTGATTTTGAAATGTTGCCTGTACAAAGTTGGCTGAATCTGTGGTTGCCAATCTGATGAATTTGGGGGAGGAGGGCCAGCTGTACACGATCATGTATTTGTGTCAGTAAACTGTGAACAGTGCTGTTCAGACTTGTGTAAATCCTCCTTTCAACCCAGCAGTGTACTGTGGGCATTCTGTCATGTTAGGCCAAATGCCTGTCCCCTTTCACCTTTTTTTTTCATAGCTGCACACTCTTCCAGAGGACAGGCTTGCTGTGGTTTAATCAGTTCAGACAGGCTTCGATGGTAGCCCTGTCTGGTGTGTTTGTAGGTAGCCAGTTTAGAACTAAAGGCATCAGTCACTAAAAAGTGTGTACTGCTAGTGGGAAGAATTGAGCCCAAGTTGTGAACCCACATAGCATTGTAAGGCTCTGATGGTTTCAAGAGTTTTGGCTTAGCTGGCTGTTGGTGGCCCATGCCTTTAATCCCAGCACCCAGGAGGCAGAGGCAGGAGGATCTCTGAGTTCAAGGCTAACCTGGTCTACAGAGTGAGTTCTAGGACAGGCTCCAAAGCAATACAGAGAAACCCTGTCTCGAAAATAAAAAAACAAACCAACAACAATAAAAAACATTTTTGGCTTTAGAGGGTAGAGGTATGAATTATTAAGAAGGTGGGACCCTGGAAGACCTGTGAGAAGCAGTCCCAGGGCCCTGCAGTGTGTACCCAGGCGCTGGCTGGGAAAGCAGGCAGAGCTTCCTCTCCCCATGGTTGTCCTGCTTTCCAGGCAGCCTGCTTTCTTCAGTTCCATCTACTGCTGTCTGAGGCGTTAGAGACCCAGACCAAAGGGGCTGCTGCTGGTGGTCCAGAGAAGTGTGCTGGCTTTCTGCTGCTTTGGCCTGCTTAGATCCTAAGAAGACAGTCAGAATATGGGTAGCAATCCTGACACAGGCTCCAGTGTTGGTCCTGAGGTCTGGCTGAGACAGAGGCCCTTTGTTGCTTTGGATTTCTTAGAGAATCTGAAGTCTGAACTCTTGGCTCAGAAAGGGATGATCCTGTGTTGTGGCTGGGCCTTCTAGAACCAGGAACACAAATCTACACCATCTGTTCTCCACTTCTGCTTTTTCATTTGTCTTGAGAACAGGGGCTTGCTACGTATTGTAGTTCAGGTTGGCCTGGAATTCTGTGTAGTCCAGGCTAAACCATCCTCCTGCCTCAGACTCCCATGTACTAAGGTTTACAGGAAGGTTACTCCATTTCTGATCCTTGCTTGTCTAGCCAGGGTGTTGGCTTCTCTGTTTAAGTAGAAATGAGATCCATTAGTATTCACCTTCTCCTTAGAATGGGCTAGTTAAGTCTCATGCCTACCTCTTGAGACCAAGGAAGCAAAACTGATCTGCATGACGGATGTGGGGGTAGAGCTGAGAGGACCAAGAGAGTTGTCCACTTCAGGTAGCGATGACTCCTTATTCTCAGTGGTAAAGACAAGGCTTACATTTTCATGGTGACTAATCCTGTGTGGAACCCGTGGTGTCTGCCACTGCCACATTGCCTCTGCCAGGTAGGAGGTGCTGACTTGGGGTTCTGGGATAGAAAAGAACAGTGGGCTTCTAGCCTTCTAGCATTGGGATCTAAGACATAGAGGTTTAAAATAAAAGAGCAAGTAGGAAGACAAAAGCAAAAGCAACCCCCACAACCTTATGGACCATATGAACGAGGGAATCTGGGGATTCAGGAGGTAAAGAGTTAGCTTAGGGTCGGGTTCCACCCCAGATCTCTGATCCTTTAATACAGGTAGCTCCTCACGTTGTGGTGCCCCTCATCCATAAAGTTATTTCATTGCTACTTCATAACTAATTTTTCTACTGTTAATAAATCACAATGTAAATATTTGCGTTTACTGACTTCAGCACCCCTGTGAAAGGTTCAGAGGTCACAACCCGTAGGTTGAGAACTGCTGGTCTAAAGAGCTGGTGTGGGTGTCATGGAGCACTTGCAGCAGGGCCTAGGGAGACTGCTGTGGCATTACTGAGGTGCACTCTGCTGCCTCTTTAGAATGTTGCATGAGCTGCAGTTGTGCTGGCCTCGTCCTTGGCGTGCTCTCTAAGTGGTCTGCCGACAGTGTGTGTGACTCCCATTACCAGTTTGCTCACATGTCCTTTTGACTTCCGCAGAGGTGAACTTAAAGGTGTTGTGTTTTTTTTTTCCTGCTTTAGCATCTACGTCATGGGCATGGTTCTGGAATGGATCAAGAACAATGGGGGAGCCACAGCCATGGAGAAGCTCAGCTCTATCAAATCCAAAATGATTTATGAGATTATTGATAATTCTCAAGGATTTTATGTGTAAGTGAATGCATTGTGTCTCTTGTGAACTGGGAACTTTATTCCTTGAAATTTATTTACCTTTTCCAAGGACTCTAGCATATTGGTGAGTGATGGGCCCATACCTCATGAGCTGGGGTTGAAGATAGGGAAATTCTTTGCTCTTGGGAAATCCCAGTCTTTTGGGTCATGTCACCAAGTACTCTGACCTGGGGAAGTATGCCCTCCCCCCTCCATCTCCTCCCTTGTGACACTGGAAAACAGTTGCAGGAAGCTAACAGCTTTGCCTAAAGCTTTCTGTCAGTCCCTTGTGCTGTAAATCCTCCTGATCTCCCTGCCTCCTGCCCCCATGGGCTTGTGTGCAGGCATCCATGGACATTTTGCTTATATAGGTCAGAGGACAACCTCCTTGTCAGTCCTTACACTCCATCTTGTTTGAAACAGGGTTTCTTTGTTTTTCATAGTTTCGTTTGGCATGCGGACAGTCCCTTGAATCCCAGGGGTTCTCCTACCATCTTACATTAGAGGCACTGGGGTTGCAGGTACATTCTGGGATTACAGGTTCATTCTACCCCATAAGACTTTCTGAGGGCTCTGGGAATTTGAACTCAGGTCCTTATATACTATAAACAATTTGCCCACCTAGCCATCTCCTCTTCCTCCTTCCCCTTTTATCAAAGTTCACTCCTTTATTCTAGGACAGGTTTTCCCATCCCTGGTCTGCAATCTGAATGAGCTTGGCTATGGCAGGGTTGACTTTTATCTAGCTATGTACTTTCATGACAAAGGGATGTGATCTTCTGTTGATCACTGGCTACGTTTGTGAGGTGTACACATCTTCAAGGTGCTTCCTGGGGCTGCTGTAATAAAGCACCCACGAACTTGGCAGAGTATAACAACAGCCCCCTTTTTTCCTTTCTTGTTTTTCTTTTATGGGAGTGAGCCAGTGGATTTAGGTATACCTAGCGCTTCAGGATGATTTTGTTGTTATTTTGAGACATGCTTGCACTATACTTATATCCCAGGCTGACCTTGAACTTTCTATGTAACTAAGACTGGCCTTGGATTCATTGTTTTCTTCCCTTCCCAAGGGCTGGTATTGCAGTCAGGGGCTGACACACCCCACCTGTGCATGGTAGCCTCATGTCATGATTGTTATCATCATTTTGTCTGCAAAAGACAAGTTTTCCAAATAGGTCAGATTTTGTGGATTCTGGATGATGAGAGATGGACATGTGTCCACTACCCAACCTGACACACAGGCTTCTCTCCATAATGGCAGACAGGATGCCCCTAAGGTAGTGCCTGGGACTTAGAAACCTCTTGAACAGTAATGGCATTTGATCTTCCCTAGCTCTTAAGGTGGGCACAGATGTACATTGGCCATATATCTTATGGTATGTGAATGTGTCTATATACCCAATTCAACATATGTACATAAACATTTATAATCACTGAGCAAGCCAGCACCTCCATTTTTAGTGGTCATGGTTCTTTGAGGCTTAGTCTGTTGTAAGAGATTTATCTGCCTAACAGTAACTTGCACTCCCTTTGGGTAGTTTGTGGGCCACACAGACTAGAAAATGAATGATGCTGCAATCCTAACATAAAGATGTGAGTTTTAGCCAAGACTTGCTGAATTTGTGTGGGTGAAGGGTATGGATGCATTCTTGGATAACTAGGCTAATAAAGCATGCTGCCATCCCCTTCCCCCTAAAATGTTTGTGTCTGCTTGTGGGAGCTCTTGGCTTGCAGCAACTGGGATTATAGAGGTGTACCTGGCTTCCCATGGGTTCTCGGGATCTGAATTCAAGTCTTCCTGCTTGCATAGCAAGCAGTTGGCTGACTGAGCCATCTCCCTATCCCCCACTGCTACTTTTCTGAAACACAAATCTGTTACTGGGCAAACTTAGTAGCCCTCATCATTCAGGGATCTAGTCAAATGCCAGAAGAGTGTCAGCAGGCTCTCCTTGGGCCAGCCTGTGTGCCTCCAGCCTCCCCTGCTAGGAGCCCAACATGCTGACTGAGCCAGAGCATGGCAGCCACTCCCCATGCCTGCCATTCTCCATTTCGTCCTTACACATGTCCCCTCTTTGACACCTCTCAGAAAGAGTACCTGTTTGGAGCTCTGTCTCCACAGCCCTCTCCAGCTAAACTGCCCTCCTTACTTGGAAGTAGAATTTCCATCTGCCACCTTTCCCTCAGTTGAAAACTACTGATCTCCTTCTTTTCTTCTTTATGGGTGATGTGTGATGTAGTCATTTCCTAGAGATTTCATCTTCAGCTTTGAGCTTTTATGACATGATTGTTTTGTGTTATTTTTCCTTTTATGAAGGGGTGGATAATTTGGGGGGGGCATGAGTGTAAGTCCAGATCTTCAAGTCTCTTAAGTCTTCAGCCACCTGTAGGCCCAGCTTGTCTCCATCCTTGCAGAAAGAGCTGTACACTTGTACTGTGTGGCTGACACGTGTTGAAAGCCATGTAAATGACCTACTGAATTGTCACAGATTGTGTGAAGCAGACATTGCTGTTCCTAATATTCAAGTGAAGGGCTGAGTCTGACAGAAATTAGAAGTCATACAAGTGAATGCTAGCTTGCATGAGTGAGGCTTTTTTTCTCTGGGTATATCATAAGGTTCTGGGAATATTTTTTTTCCTTCATTTTAATTCCTTTTTGTGGGTTTTTAAACTCAACTATTTGTTGTTTATTAAAGTAGTACCAGCTGGCCTTGAAATCATTATGTGGCTATGGATGACCCTGAGCACTGATCCTCATGGCTCTACATCCTGATTGCTGTGACATAGAACCTACAACCTTCTACATGTTGAGCACTATGTCAGCTGAGTGCTAGCCTGAGCTCTGCTACCATTTAGAAACCTGTAGATTTGTTTATGACATTACACCTGCTAGAAACATAGCTGGACTAATAAACATGCTTTTCAGATGTCCAGTGGAACACAAGAATAGAAGCAGGATGAACATTCCATTTCGCATCGGCAATGCCAAAGGGGACGAAGCTCTGGAGAAGCGCTTCCTTGATAAGGCGGTGGAGCTTAACATGATCTCCTTGAAGGGACATAGGTAAGCACCCCTCGTCCCCAGGCATGTCAGAGGCAGAATGAAACAAACCCAGGACCTTGCACAGCCTGAAGTAGTGGTGACAGACTTACTTCTGGCTGGGTTGCACCATGTGTTGCATATAGGGTTGCATCAGCTCTGAAAGTGCCTCTGGTAGGGCCTGCCTGCTCCACTCTGGGTTGGATCAACACTGTGCTCAGCTGCACATCAGATATGCTGAACAGTAAATGTCCCCACACAGGAGACCTGCAGCAGCAGAGCGTTCAGTCTGTCTGTCTGGCTGGAACTGTTGCAAAGCCTAGCGAGTGGTATGGCCCCAAAGAAAGCCACAGTCATCCCCTTCTTCTGACTTTTTCTCCCTCCCCTCATTTAGTTTCTTCTTTATCAAAGGTGAATAGTTAGGATATGATCAAAGTCCGGTGTATGCACGTATGGAAATATGAGAGTGAAATCCATTAATTTGTACAAATAATGTTAATAATTACTCTAAAAAATGTGACTAGTGTGAGGCATGGTGGATGACCTTCACTGCACAAGGGATTTCTGTAATGAGTTAGAGGCATCATGCTACCCTTTGGGGAAGTTGAGGGCTCTGGGCTGAGATGCAGTTCTTAGGAGGGGTAGTTGTATTGTGCTGAAATAGATGCCTTTTAAATTTCACTTTTTTTTCTGTGTTGTTGAGGTTCAGGCCTGAGCCTTATGTATGGGAGGCAAGGGCTTTAACACTGATAATATGCCTTCTCCTGATTTCCTTGGTCTTCATGATTGGGTCTCTGTTGTTCTAGGTCAGTGGGAGGCATCCGTGCTTCTCTGTATAATGCTGTCACAACTGAAGATGTTGAGAAGCTGGCTGCCTTCATGAAGAATTTTTTGGAGATGCATCAGCTGTGAACATGACTAGCTACGCTCTGCCTGTGAGCAACACACAGAGTTCAGATTAACTTTGGATTGTCTATAAAAACTTAACAGACATGGATTTTTTTTTTCCCCAACTACATGCTTACTACAGAGTCTTTTTAAAAGAATAAGGATTAAACACCCAGACCTCTGCAGAGCTGATGAGGCTATCAGCTAATGGCCTCCTTCGTTTTGACTTGATCTGGAAGCAGTTTCAAAGCTTTTCTGTTGCTTTTCTAATGAGTCCAGCCTGGCATCTCTCTGTTCCTTTCTCTAGGTGGATTGCAGCCCTAGGCTTGGACTTTGTTCTGCTGGTTCCAGTTGGTTATTTTTGGGTTCACAGGAGCATACCCCAAGGAGCTTGGTTGGGGTGCCATGTGCTGGATCTGACAGCGGTGAGATTCCTGGGTTCTGCAGCTGTTGGTTAAAGTCAACAATGACTCTTTTAAGCATTTTAGATCTGTCTACTGCTATTCTCACAAAGATAAAAGGGACGTATACATGTGCTAACATAGTAGCTATGTTTTTAACTCCATACGGTTTATATCTATGGCTTTATATTTTTAATGAAACAGTTCTGTAGACGCTTTTAGAGTTTGTTCAACCCATGATTTTGTGTATGGCTGTCCTCTGCTGTGGACAAGTTGCACCCTCCCACCTACTCCCTTCTAAAGCTGCTTCAACCGAAAGATCCAGAAGTTCCATGATTCACTTTTCCTATCCTTGCCACAAACACAAGAAATGGTTGGTTCTTTGCTTTTTGGTTAGGCTGTTTAATAAAACTGAGTAACCCTTCCACCTCCGCCCCCACCCGCCGTGAACTGTGTTCATATGGCTGTTTGACCAGGGCAATACTGTACATTCCAGATCTTTGCTGAGGTCTTTTTCCATCGTTCATATTTAGTGTTTTCTGTTGACTATGTGAAGAACATTAAAGTCCTAAAGCATCTCTAAATCATTGCCTGTGTTCTTCTGCTTGCCCTTTTAGGCATCCTGACAGGAAGGCCTCTGAGATAGAGTTTAGTCTATCTATTTAGGTGTCAGGCTTAGTTCTTGATCAGCTCTGTGTGGCTGTTTACCTTTTCCTTTTGGAACAGACACTGTCAGCAGATTCCTTCCTTCCAGCACTGCACTTCTGTGAACTCTGCCCGTTAGTCCAGAGAAAAGCCAGCAGAACAGTTTTGAGCTCTTCCTGTTTCATTTGATTGCCCAAGGAGAAGACACTGATTAATTGGTTCTCCTGGTCTGGCTTCATCTTTTCACTTGTGAAAGGAGGGAGATCGTACCCAGCATTGCGGGATGCTTATATTAAAAACAAGGTCTTGTTTCGAGCTGTGACAAACCATCACATTAGTCTGTAAATGCCAAGAGCCAGCTATGGGTCCAGAAACAAAAACAGTGTTTAGAGCTAACCCTCCTTTTCCCATGTATTTGTGAATCCCCATTGTCTCCACTTCAACCCTTTGTGTACAGCTCTGCTATGACAACCCTTGAATTATTTTGGCACCTGTCTTTGCCCCAACCACTTTTCCCAGCACATGACTTGGACCGACTTTCTGCTCTGTGTGTGTATGCGTGAATGACCAAGGCTTTGTAGTGTGGCACTCAGAGCTTCCTAGCATCTTCCTGGCTTCCTGTCCCCCGTGCTAATGGCTCTTAGATCCTTTCTGTTACGATTGTGCCCATGCCATGCTAAGCTTAGAGTTCCTGCCCAACTCAGTAAGATCAGACAATCTTCATGACATCTGATGCTTCTTTACTTCCTCTCCCTATTCTTTGCTTTGTTGCCATGGAGGTGACCATTTTCTTTCCCCTCTTTGTGATTCTGAGGTGGCTGCCTATCTGTCTTGCACATAGATGTTCAGACTGCCTAATGAACGAAGAGCATGGTGCATGGTTTCTTAGTGTTGTAAACAGCTTGGGGCAGTAAAAGCACATGGATTTTATAAAGTATCAAAAGTTTAGTGTACAATGCAATTCATTTTTTACTAATGGTTTGACTAGGATCATATGTGGTCAAGTGGGGAAATTTAAGACTCCCAAGAGGTTTCTAGAATTATCTTTACCATTTGGAAGCTTTTGGAGGGAGCTAGTTGTAGACTTTGGAGCACAGATCTTAGAAAATAGCCATAAATTGTGACCTTTGTGTGCCACAAGAGATGAGCTGATGCCAGCCTGATGATGACATGGAGGGTGGTAGAAGGGGATCCTGGGAATGCAACGGTTCTAGAGACTTTGGGCTAGGAGGCTGCTTGCCTGTCACTGAAGGAGCCTGGGTGAAGGACTGACTCATGTCCTGATAGCATCCCAGTGGGGAAAAACCTTTGTGTATTCTGTTTAATCAGCATTAAATGAGTCCTTTCTATCAAATCTATAAAACCTGTGATGACGACAAGGAATTAAAATCTTTTCATGTCCCCCACCTCATAAGATATTTCAGTCCCCCACTGCCACCCAGTAAAACCTTTGTTTACACAAAAGTCCAGCTACATTCTCAGCTTAAAGTGGCTGGCCCCTCCCCCTTCACTTGGTGTACACTGACTCTGTACAGACTGGCCAACCAAATCCGACTGAATAAGGTTTAACCCCAGCCAATGAGGAAAAGACACAGTTACCATCTGAGTTAAAATAAAACCCAGGGCTGGAGAGATGGCTCAGCCAGGTAAGAGCACAGGCTGCTTTGCCAGAGGAACTGGATTCAATTCCCAGCACCCACATGGCAGCTCACAACTGTTAACTCCAGTTCCAGGGGATCCAACATCCTCACACAGATATACATGCAGGCAAAACACCAATGCAACATAAAATAAAAACAAGTAAATATATAGAAAACAAAACAAACCCAAGGGTGCACCCTCTGTGTGCTTGCCCTTTGAGTATACCTACCCTCTTGGTAAGTGTCATGTTACGCCTGATCCAGCTACTGAAGTTGGAGTGGTCGGGACCCCAAACTTTCTTATACTGGTATGCTCTACTCACTGCTTTGTTTCCTATATGGTGCTTCTGTTCTTTTTCAAGAGAGGATTGAGGTCTGTTCCCAACTCATCACCCTGCAAAATTCCTGTTTGTTGGGAGACATAACCAGAATCTTGTCATGGCTGTGGCCCCTGGGGCTGAAAGGCTTGGCATGTTCGGGTGAGCTATCTGGGGGAGTGATTTTTCTTCTTCAGTGCTGAAACAGCCACTAAGACCATATAAACAAACACCATTGACAGATGACATGGCCACTTCTGTCACAGGCACCACACAGGGTCTGGCCTCACCACTGGGATTAATGTTGTATCCTGTTCCTGAGAAAGAAAATAAAATGAAATTTCTCACATTTGATCGGAATGAACATAATTAAAAAGTGCCATGCTACTCAGTTACTAAGCAATCAATCACTTTAATTGGAAAGAAGATTCCTTAACTCTCTTACTGGGCTCCTGGTAATTAAAAAATTGTGATCCTTGACAGTTTGTGATAAATTGTCTCCTTTTGGGCAGAAGAGGTAAGAAATTATAATTACCCCTGGATAATTCTAGAGTGGATGGAAAGTCATGATCAAAGAGATGTTGGAGAGAGAGGGGGGCTGACAGTGGACAAAGATTTGCTGAAAACATTTTAAAGGACAAATTCATTTGATGTGGCAGAAACAGGAGCTTGCGTATTTAAGATCCCAGAGATATAAATCGGATTTCCTAAGAATATAGGGAACTAAGCATATTAGAAAAAGTTCACATACAGAGTTATCTAGACTAACAGAAATTAGCCCTGTTTATTAACTAGTCTTGGACCTCACTTGAGGAAGAATATGCAATTTATAGGCTGGTAAAATGGACCACTAAGTAAAGGTGCTTGCCAAGATGCCTGGCAGACAACCCGGTTGATACCTGGACTGGTGGAAGGAGAGAACAGTCCAGAAAGTTGTCTATGTATGTGCTTCCTTTCCCTGATTCAACAGTAAATATAAAAAATGTTTTGGAATGTATGGCTTATGTTGTTTCTCCGTAGGTACTCTTCACAAGTTTAAGGAAAGCTAAAATTTTTATGAAAATGAAAGGAAAACTAAGTTACTAGAAATAAAGACAGAACTGAAGTGGTAAAACTCAGTGTTAACTGTAGATCTTTTATGTGTTAATGTCTGATTCCACTGTGTTACAGTGTCCAAAATAGAGACCGACTCCCTCAAGTTGTGTACACACCCCACACACCAAATAGAAATAAAAACAATAATGGGGGGCTATTGAATCCACTGGAACCATCTCTGCTGCTGTCCTAGGCTTTGCTTCTAATTTTCCTAAGAACACCTGAAGAATGGGCTGTTTAAAATGATACAATGGACTATACATTGATTTGAAATATATGTTGATGGGAGATGTCATTCTGTAAATATGTTTCTCATACTGGTTAATGAATAAAGCACTGTTGGCCAGTAGGAAAGCAAGATAGGCGTGACTAGGAGACAAGGAGGATTCAAGGAAGTAGTAGGGAGGAGTCAACATGGAGAGACGGGGGAGAGCAGACTCTCCAGTAAGATGAGACCACGTGGAAATGCTTAGATTAATAGAAATGGGTTAATAATTAAGACAGAGCTAGTCGATAAGAAACAAGTAACTGGCCAGCAGCATTATATCAAATACAGAGTCTCTGTGTGTGTTAATTGGGGCTGGCACAGCGGCGGGACAAGACCAGCGGGAGGCGGAAAAACTACTCATAACGATATGTAGTTAATTTTTAAACTAATTTGTCATCTGTAGTATCTTTTGTAAGTTATGTACTGAAATGACATATATTTATATAGACAGCTTATGGGAAATAGACTAGATTGGATGAAGAACTGGGATAATATGCTTCACCAAGAACCGCATCGCTTCACCCAGAGTCACATCGCTGACGGCTGATCGCTTCAGGGATTTAGGATCTGCTTTTGTACATCACAGACATGCTTTCTGAGCTGTTAGCTGATATCCTAGTCTGCTTTCTATTGCTGTGATAAAACACAAGCAATTTTGGGAGGAAAAGGTTTATGTCAGCTTACAGGTCTTGACCGAAGTCTACCATGAAGGAAAGTTAAGACAGGCACTCAAGGCAGGAGCCTGGATGTGGGAGCAGGGAAGTACTGCTCATTGGCTTGCTCTCCATAACTTTCTCAGCCCGCTTTCTTACACCAAGTGGGCTGCTAACCATTGGGCTGCCATCTCTCTAGCCCCTCCATGTGGCTTTCTCAGGTTATGTGTTTTTGGCATTCCGGGCAGCTTGTCCTGATCTTCATACCACACAGACACACAAAACAAATAGATCTAAAAATAATTGTGTCACAGAGGTGATGCTGTGTCCTCCATGCATCCTGGCAGGAGACACAATGCTGCTGTCTCAGACTTCCCTGATAATCAGTGACAAGTAAGTTCTTTTATAGGGAAGTATTTTAAGACTTAAATTCCCTTTTCTTCATTGAATAGGTGACAAGTTCCATGGAAAGAAAATAAAATTTAAGGAGACAAGTGATGTACTGTTTATGTTTACCTCCTTCCCATTACAACACTCAAAAATGTAAGTTGAAGTGTGTAAAAGTACATTTTGGAAAGCCCTGTACCAGCAGTTAGAAGATTTATATTGCATAGGCCCTGAAAATAAACTTGAGAAGGTGATAATGCCTATGTGTTCTTGCTTAGATTGGGAACGTGTCCCCATTCCCAGTTCAGTCATGGGACTCTGCAAAATGACTGTGTCATGAGGACTGTGTTCCCATCAATGGATGGTCCACATCTGGATTGACTGACTGCATGGGCCACTGTCTCCAGGGCCTGTCCCTGTCACAGTGATGAACTACTTGGGGCAAGTGTGCTTTTGTAGAACCAGGAAAACAGTTTTTTTCTGCTCAAGATTGGGAATTCAACTTTCCTTCTATCTAGTCGAGCTTATTATATCTCACTATTTTTAGGAGTTCAGCGCTCCAGCAATATGGGGCTTTAA